CACAGGATAAGTTCCAAGACCCCAGTGGATGCCTGGCACCATGGATAATACCAATCCCTACACAGCCATGTCACTAACAATAAGATACATTGTGAGAAATGCAGCGTTAGGCGATTTCATCTTGTGAGAAGAACACCGAGCTCACTTACACAAACCTAGACCATACTTTAATGTGACGGGCAGTGTAAGAGGTTTATTTACACCAGCAGCACCATCAGTTTACACCAGTTCACGCCATCACCACTAACACATAAATAATGTCTTGCACTAGGACTTAATGTCAGCTACTACCTCTCTAGCAACAGGAAGGCTTCAGCCAAGGTATAATCTTTTAAGTCACTGGTCTATATGTAGTCTGTCATTTAGAGAAAGCTCATTATGTGGTGCATGACTACACATACTATGTTTTTTCCTATACATACAGAGCTACGATAAAATTTAATTTATAAATTAGGCACAGTAAGAGATTAAGAACAATACTACTACTAAAATAGAGCAATTACAACAATGTATTGCAATAAAAATTGTGAGCATGGGGTGTCTCTCTTACTCTCCGTCTCCTATTGGGAGGAATCCAGAGAAAAGCCCACGCAGACATCAGGAGAAGGCGCAAATTCCACAGGCAGTGGCACAGTGGGGAACTGATTTTTTTTCCTCATCGACATTATAACCAAATGCCATTACTCAAGGACATGCTGTTAAGCGTGGATACAGTGGACAAAGGAATGATTCACATCCCAGGCAGCTTGGAGCAGGAGGCGTGAGATTCCATTCCACTACTTGGAATGGCAAGCAATTCAAAACTTAAGAATTGTTTATTTCTGGAGTTTTCTACATAATATTCTCAGATCAAGGTGAGCCATGGGTAACTGAAAGCATATAAAACAAAGCCCAGGATAAGGAGGGACTACTGTATGCCCTTATCTGTCTCCACAACGAAGGTCCATTCTTCAGGGGAAAGACCTTGCTGAATGGCATTCCTCACAGTCCAGAACCATCTAGCCTTCCTCTCTCAACGGGAGGGGGAGATAGAGAAAACTAATATGCAGCAAGGTCAGCGTCCGGAGACACAAAAATGTAACTATGAAACCATACAACACTCCCCTCCCTTTACCAACATTATCAACAGGCCTCCAGTATAATAACAGGGGATTATAGCAAAAAGAGATGCAAATCACTAAGTTCCTATAGAAGCCCACAGACAACAGCAAGGACACCAGGGACATGTGATGCCTCTGGTAACAGCCCAACTCCTAGCCAGACTAAAATTAAACCTCACCCTATGCCCATCTACCTCAGTTCCTATTACCCACACATCAGGTCACTTTTAATAAAACATCCCACAGTATGCTAACTAAGGACAAGAAAACAGGCAGGGAGATCAGGACACACACTTTAAATGATAATCCGATGAAAGATGAAGTTGGCTTGGGCCATAGTAGCAGTGGAAGTGGTGAAAAGTGGTCAAGGTCTGGAGGTATGCTGAAGACAGCAGAGGTGAATTGCTAATGAAATGGAGGTAGGATGTGAAAGACAAAGTGGAGGCAGGGATGACTCCAAGGTGTGGACCAGTGCTGCAGGGAAAATGGAGCTGCCATCAACTGAGACAGTAAAGGCTTCAAGTAAAACAGCTGTCTGGAGTAAGGGTTCAGGAATCCAAAATTTTTGAGGAGGTGGTTAATCCTCACCTGAGGATATTTTTCTATTGATTATTAGAGATAGTGGAAGGAAGGGAGAGAAGCAGAGAGAGAAACATCAATGTGAGAGAGACATATCTATGGATTGCTTCCTGCATTCCCTGACCAGGGCTGGGGATCCAGCTTGCAACCGAAGTACGTGCCCTTGACCAGAATCGAACCTGGGACCCTTCAGCACACAGGACGGTGCTCTATCCACTGAACAAAACCAGCTAGGACAGGAATTCAATTTTTAATGTCTCAAATGATATAATAAATACTGGCCAGTTGCGTATTCATTTAACTAATAGTATTCAGAGTGCCTAATACTATAACAAAAAGACATAAAAATATATTGGAAACCAGGAAAATGCTTAATAATTATTTTACCAACTAAATGGATAAATGAACAAATGATCAAATATTTTAAGCCATGTCACCAAAATAACTTCACCAGAATCATAATCATCACTGTCAACAGTAATAGCAGGTAAGGCTGGAAAACATCTAGGAGTTTACAAAATGCTTCAGCCAAGTCCAGGACGGAGCCTGTTACAGGCATTCCTGCCCCTCCTTTTCTTTCAGAGTAAGACAATGTGCCTGGGTACTTGCCTTCCCAGAATACAGATACCATTTCCCAGCCCTCTTTGCAGCTAGGTGAGGCCAATAGTCTGTGAGCAAAACATGGGATGTACAATCTCTGAGGTCTGCTCATAAAGACAAAGGGTATACCCACCATTTGCCCTTTCTCTCGCTCTTCCTGTCAGCTGAAGTGCTGATGTGACGATGAGCCATTTTGGACCACATGGACAGGGTGACACTACTGAGATGGCAAGGGAACAAAAGAGAAGGGGCTGGGATCCTGAAAATCCATGGCGCCATCTTATCAGCGCTGGGCTGCACTTGCTTAGATTGTTACATGAAAGAATGAGGCTTCTATCTTAGTCAAGCCACTGTTATCATGGCTCCTTGTTACAGGAACTGAAAACTTAACCAATAAATTTAATAACTCCTCAGAACAATCCTGGGATGCAAATAATGCGCTGATATTTTTTCTTATAATTCCTTATTATGTTTCGGTTTTAAACAGCAGGAAAATAAACTGGTAGCACAGCCTTGGTTTATATATTTATATCTACCAGTGAAGAAAAATGAACTGAAAAGTATTCTGTGAGAACTGATTACAACGATTTTTACAGCAAGATGTAGGTTCAGGCATCCAATAAACTATAGCACTCACTACCTAAAAAAGCCACAGGGTGAAGATTTTTCCATGAGAACATGCTATGCACTGATTTCACTCTTATGTGGGATCTAACAAACAAAATGAACTAATAAGCAAAACAGAGCCAGACTCATAGATAGAGAGCAGGCAGACAACTGTCGGGGTGGAGTTGGTGGGGGTGGAGGGATTGAGAAAAAAAAAAAAGAGAAATAATAGAAAAAAGTAAATAAAAATAAAGTTTCTAGTCACCTTAAAATTCCTGCAATCTATTAAACAGTATAAGTACCAACAATTAGTTCCTTGGCTTCCAGACATGTGTTGCTCATTCACAGTAGGGGGCTTACAGGAGGCAGTGATCAATGATTTTCTCTCATCACGGATGTTTCTATCTCTCCCTTCCTTTCCCTTCCTCTTTGAAATCAATTATATATATAATTTTTAATTCAATACCTGACTAAGGGGCACTGACCTCTTTTCACTCAGACTGTCAAATAAAAAAATGACAACAGCCAACGCAATAGCCATCCGATGTGAATGAATCAAACATATACCCCTCCCCTTTTTTTTTTTGTCAGATCAGGCAAATGATATTTTTTGTTGTGTCACAGAATTTTAGCAATTCATTTATGTGTGCCATGGCATGAACAAGTTGAAAATCACTGGTCTAGATAACTGTGTATATATCCTTATATACATAAGCAGGGCACTCCATGCAATTAGAACGGTTTTGTACTTTCAGTATTTAAATACTGGTACAGAATTGTGTTAGGAAAAGTAGACGACCAGTTCAAATGCAAGCAAACATACTTTAAAGCAGTGGTTTTCAACCTTCCTAATGCCGCGACCCTTTAATACAGTTCCCATGTTGTGGTGACCCCAATTTCACTGTTACAAATTGAACATAATTAAAGCATAGGGATTAATCACAAAAACAATATGTAATTATATATGTGTTTTCCGATGGTCTTAGGCGACCCCTGTGAAAGGGTTGTTCGACCCCCAAAGGGGTCGCGACACAGAGGTTGAGAACCGCTGCCAAAGGATACATAACTAAAAAATGGATTATGAAGAACAAGAGTATTTGTCACTATTTACTACATTTCTGCACTTAAAATGTAAACTTATTTTCATTCAGTTGTTTTCAAGCTTCCATAACCATTTAATTAACTAAAACCAGAGAAATCCTTTGTAACAGCTTTTGACTATTCACTTATAGATCCTGAGGTTTGCTAAAATAACTTTCTAAATCAAAACCAATAAAAAAAAATATGATCAATCTGTACATGGTACAGTGAAAAGTTTATTTCCCCAAGTGACTTAAGAACTCAAATAAGAATGTGCTCACTACTCGGCAGCACCCCAGTTACTTGGCCTCTGCAACGCTACGGATAGCTCACACTTGCATGCGTAAGCACTGACACCTACAGACACAGTTCCGAGGTTCAGAGGTAGACTTACCTCCAAATCTGCTGTGTCAGTGTCATTCTGGTGGTGTTTACTCAGGTGATGCTTACAAAACAGAGAGCTCAAGCATACTTAATTGTTTTAACCTGACTTTTATTACACGCTGAAAGAGGTGATGTCCATCAGTACTTTAAAATGTGGAAACCGAGCATTTTTCTAAAATCTTATGGTAGTCGATATTTTTACATAACAAGAGTTCTAATTCCTCTGGACCAGTGGTTCTCAACCTTGGCTGCACATTAGAATCACCTGGAAATCATCCTCCGGAAACTCTGTTTCTTTGTTATGGGGTGGGGCCACAACATTAGTAACAAAGAAACAGAATTTCCGGAGGATGAGGCCCAGAAATCAGGATTTTAAAAAGATTCCCAGGTGATTCTAATGTGCAGCCAAGGTTTAGAAGCACTGCTCTGGACAAATGTAGCCAAGGACTTGGAAAAATACTTCCCTATTCCAAATATGGAACACTGATATGTCTCTAAATTGCACTGCTCACCTCTTAAAAGATAAAGAGATACGGGCATTGCATAAAAGGACCTCTTCATCCTTAATGCTGTGTTTTAAGGCAAGAAGCATAGATATAAGAAGGCAGAAAGAGTAAACTGTCTAGGTAAAAGCATAAAATAAATTATTACCTTTAGCTGGGTTTACTTTTATCCCTGACCTATACAGCATTTCCTCATTCTGCCAGTCTCCATTCCTGATTGCAGTCTTGAGTCCATAGAAAACAATTAATGTAGCTGTAGCATAAAAAATCAAGCTCTTGAGAAACCGCTTCTGGACTCTGACATAAAGGGCTCTGGCACCCACTGTAATGAGGAGGCAGAAGCCCATGCTAGGAATATACAATACTCGCTCTGCAATTACAAAGCCGACATAGAAAAACAGGTTCGTGGCAGGAACAAAGGGTATGATTAACAAAGATAAAGACAGTACAACAATGTTCTCCGTAGAAGGAAGTGGTGTTGTCTGTGGTACATCATTTTTAATGCCATTTTCTACTTTGGATGCAAAGCTGGGCTTAATCTCTGAGTTCGGGTACTCCACATCTGAGTGGCAGCTATGTCCATTTGCATTCTGCTTGCCATTTGTTACCAGTTTCCCATAGTACTCTCTTCCCACGCTTGGGCTCTTTAAACCACAGTAGGCAAGAAGGAGGAGTCCAATATAGAAGGCCACGGTGTGTAGGTTCCTCCAATCACAAAGTGTTCTGAGCAGAGGCACGGCATCCATTGACCAATCAAAACTGAGGGTATCAGGGCAGAGTAACAGCCAGAGGTTCTTGGTTGGCAAGTAGAAGAAGGTGAGTGTGCGAGCCAGGAGACTATCAGAATCAGCAGCTGGGTTGTCAGAGTTGGAAAAGCTTGGTGGTTTGTTTCCCATCCAGTATAAACGGGCACCCAAAAGGGAAGTCCCCCAGAGAGTTAACAAACTAATGCTGAGGAAAAGAGACAAATTCTTCCCCTGAAACCAAAAGAGAGGGAGGGAAAAATTAAGATGATCATCAATACAGCATGGTGACTTCACTTAACATTAGAGATGAAATACATTTTTAAATGGACAGTTAACACAGCATTATGTCTAAAATATATGACTTCATCCACCTCCTTTTTAAACATGTTTAGGAAAATTTTAACCTAAAAAAATTGACTGTGGAATCCTACTTTGTATATTACTTTTTGTGAGTAGTTTTTCTTCTCCTTCCTTTTCTAACGTACCAATAACCAAAGCTTCAATTTCTTGACCTCTACAAAATGAGTTGTATGTATTTCCTTCTTGGAATTAGCATCAGGTCAAAATAAGACAACAATGTGAAAGTACTTAGCATTCTTAGTAGGCATCTAATAACTGAGTTCTTTCATTTTATAATTCAGATACTGGGGAAAAACAAAGAACAGTCATGACAAAAATATATATATGGAGAACAGGATTCCATTCAGCTCGAAAAGTAGGAATAGCATTTCGCCATGTCTATGCCAGTCCTGACTTCATTGTCTTGAATATCCTTGCAGAATTTATAAACCAGGCTTTCACCTGTACCCCAGGCTGCCACTGGCATCAGTGACATCAACCATTTAACAACACTCCTCATGAATGTGAAGTTTTTCACGTTGATGACAACTTTTTAGGAATACAATGACTTTAAAACAAACTTATTTTATGAGAAATAAAATCGTGAGATGAAGGCAAAAGGACATCCTTGTTAATGAGAATTTGTGGCAAACTCAATCTGAATAAGAATTTAATGACCTCAATCTAAGTCCTGAGAATGAAGAAAATATTTGCAAATAATACATTAATATCCAAAATATATACATAATTCATACAACTCAAAGAAAAAAAAACAAATACAATTACAAAACGGTCAGAGGATCTGAATAGACATTTTTCCAAAAAAAGATGGCCAATAGGTACATGAAAAGATGCTCAACATCACTAACCATCAGAGAAATGCAAATCAAAACCACAACCAGATATTACCTCACACATTTCACAATGGCTATTATCAAAAAGATAAGAAATAACAATGTTGATGAGGATGTGGAAAAAAGGGAAACATTATATACAGTTTGGTGGAAATATAAATTGGTGCACCCACTATGGAAAATAAGCATGGAAATATGCCTCATTAAAATTGAATTACCATATGATCCAGCAATTCCACTTCTAGTTATTTATCTGAAGAAACTGAACTTACTATGTCAAAAAGATATCTTGCATCCCCATGTTCACTGCAGTATTATTTATAGCAGCCAAAACATGAGACCATCTCAAGTGTGTATCGATAGATGAATGAATAAAGAAAATGTAATATATATATATATATATATATATATATATATATATATATATATATATATATATATATAATGGAATATTACCCAGCTATAAAAATAAAGAAACTCTGCCATTTGCCACAACATGAATATCCTTTAAGGGCATCATGCTAAGAGAAATCAATCAGACAGAGGAAGAAAAATACTGTATTATCTCACAGGCAGAATCTAAATAAAACCCCACAAACTCACATATTCAGAGAACAAATTGATGGGTGGCTGAGATGGGGGAGGGATGTAAAGGGCCAAATGGCAAAGGTGGTCAAAAGGTACAAGTTCCAGTTATAAGATAAATAAGTCTGAGGATGCAATTTATACTGTGGTGATTACAGTTAACAATACTGTATTATTGTATATTTGACAGATGATTGAGCAGACCTTAAAAGTTCGCATCACAAAAAAAATAAAATTTTTGTAACTATGTGTTACAAAACTTAACTTACTTGTGGTAATCATTTCACAATATAAACATACATCAAATTATTATTTTGTACGCCTAAACCTAATATAATGTCTATATTAATTATATCTCAATTTAAAAACAATCCACAAAGAGCAATATATTTTGAGCATGCACAACTTCCATTATAACCATGCTATATTATAAGCAACTGCTACTACACTGTCCTTCCCAGACACTTCTCATTCACCTCTCTCACTGCTAGAAGCCACATAACTGGTCCTAGACTATCTGCTCTATCTCCACTCTGAACCTAATGATCTCAGCAAGATTCATGATTTTAAAATTATTAATATTTCCTAATAACTCCATCTGCATCTCCCTTCACCTCCATAGTCCTTTATTCAATTGTATGTTGAGCATATACACTTAGGTACCTCAGCTCAAAATGTCCAATATACAACTTGACTTCCTACCTTCTCCAATGAAACAGTTCCTCTCCAATCATTACACCTGAGATGATGGTAATACTATGTAAGCAGTTTCTTCTTCACAACCTCTCTCCTTCCCTCTACATTCCATGCATTACACCAAGTCCTCTCACTTTCACTTCAAAATATATCCTGATGTGTCCATTTCCCTCCATCTCTTCTGTCATCACTCTAGTTCAAAATGCCAAGACTTGGTTTATCAGATTAGACTCCTCCTAACTGGTAATCTAACCCTTTCCAACACAGATAATAGTGTTCCCAAATTTTAAAATAATTAATGGGAGCTTATTCTAAGACCTTAGAAGTTTTTATCTCTACAATACAACGTTTATAATTCACTGAGCAGTTTTCTTGATGGTATGTCCACTTTTATATTTCAAAATTATTTTGAACAATATTTTAGGTATTTAAAAAGGGGTAATTCTGGGTATAAAAGACAAGGAGCAAAGGGAGATGAGGCTAGAAGTTAAAAATGCAGAATAAGAAAAATTAGAAACAACAAATAAATGGAAATTTTAAGAGGTGGGATTGTTGGTTTATATCAAATCACAATAATGCTAAATTCATAGAATTAACTGTCTCAGTGTTTTAAAAACTTCTTTGGTGGACCTGGCTGGTTTGGCTCAGTGGATAGAGCATCGGCCTGTGGACTGAAGGGTTCTGGGATCTATTCTGGCTGGGGGCACATGCCTGGGTTGCAGGCTCAATCCCCAGTAGGGTATGTGCAGGAGGCAGCCCATCAATGATTCTCATCATTGATGTTTCTCTCTCTCTCCACCTCTCCCATTCTCTCTGAAATCAATAAACATATTTAAATAAAAATGAAAACTTCTGTGGCAGACCTCTGCTCAAAATTAACTTTTGTAATGCTATTTGAAATTTTTAATGGCAGGGGAATAATATGTTCAGTCATCACGAATCTTTAAATTTCAGGTCTCTGCTAGAAAAATGAAATGATGCAAAGCCTCTTTATCATCTAAAAGTAACTTTTGCAAACCATTACCTTGGCTCCTCTGAAATTCTACACAACAAAAAGCTTAAAATTTCTGGATTATAGGAGAAAAATTAAAACACACAAAACCAAAAGTTAAAAGTTGTAAATAACTTGATGGATCAAGGACATAATTGAGTAGTCTTAGATTCTAGAAAGGAGAAACATATCATTTGGCAAAAATAAATGAGAAAATAGATCATGAATAAAGAAGACTGAACTTGGAAATAATTCAATTTTGAATTTGTACCAGAAGTCCATTTTCAAAGTGGACTTTTCAATTGAAAAGAAAGGTCTTTTCAATAACTAAAGACCTTGTGTTCTTGGAGCTTCATATATCCTATTCCAGAAAAACACATCATGAGGAAAAGAACCATAGGGACTTAAAGGGCAATTTTCAAACCTGAAGGACCATATCAATTGTGAGCTTTTAAAAATACCAGTGCCTTGGTCTAACTAAATTCTCCATAGGGGATTGATTCTCATGCAGCTGAAGTTGAGAATCACTGCATATTCGTACAAGTCTAATTCTTAGTGATACTAAAAATACTGTTGGCCGATGGCTTTCATTTCACAAAGTTTTAAAGCTTATCTTCCTCAATCTAAATGAATAAACCATAATGAAACGTAACATTTTCTCCCAAGTGCAGGGCAAAATTGAATTCTTAGTATAATGGAGTGGTGAGCATCATGAAGGTCAGGCTACAAAGGAACTGAGATCATTGTAATAAGTAGAACTCAAGATTGAAATATTTAAGTGTTGTTGCACTATACAGAAGACAGAGGATTTGTTCCCAGAGGCGGGGGGGAGGGAGGGGGGCAGGAAATAGTCTTCTAAATGTGAATCACAAAAAGCACATAATCCAGAGAGGAAATTAAGGAAAAGGCAAAAACATTTGAAAAAATGTTCAATCTCCTTCATCAATAAAAATGAAAATCAAACTGAAAAAATATATTTCACATGAATCCAAGTGGGGGAAAAAAGAGAAATGGAAAAAATTGGACATAAAAGTCACTGAATGACTTTGGGTAAATACTGGGTAAATATAAATTGTATAGTTTTGGTGAGAAAATTGGAAGTATTTAGAAAAATTAATACTTTGTACCCCCTACTATTTGATAATCTGGACTTAGTTACCTATTCTCTAAAAAGAAAATCTCTCTTTGATCTAAATATAAGGACATCTAATTCATCACTATTTATAAATGCAAAAATAAGAAAATAGCTAAAAATTTCAATAGAGCAATATGAAAATAAACCATGGTATATCCATATCTTTTGAATATATAATGCAACTGAGAGGAAAAAGATACTTTTTTTTTTTTACAAAATATCATAAATAAATACAAATAGACATAAACTGGCTTTATGAAAATCAAATTTTTCTAAATGTTTAAATATGCTTTTCATCCTTTTAAAAGTTCTTCTTTAACATAAAAAGGGAAATCAGCCCAAATCTCCATTTTGTTGAAAATAAAACAAAAACTGTATCTTTCTTTTTTTTTAAAATTACATTTCATTGGGGTGGCATTGGTCAATATGCACATATAGGTTGCATGTGTGAATTTCTAAGTTACAAAATTACAAAATTTTAGAGGGATTTTTCTGGAACTGTCAGAAACAGAAAATCACAGGACGGAAATCAGCTAAGAATATAATGTTCATGGTTGACAATTTCATTTCTAGTCTTTGAATACACTACAGAAATTTTTAAAAAAAACACCTACTTATTAGTTAATCAGCT